GAGTGTAGTGGAGAGTGTAGTGTAGAGTGTAGTGGAGAGTGTAGTGGAGAGTGTAGTGGAGAGTGTAGTGGAGAGTGTAGTGGAGAGTGTAGTGGAGAGTGTAGTGGAGAGTGTAGTGGAGAGTGTAGTGGAGAGTGTAGTGGAGAGTGTAGTGTACGAGTGTAGAGTGTAGTGTAGAGTGTAATAGAGTGTAGTGTAGTGTAGAGTGTAGTGTAGAGTGTAGTGGAGAGTGCATGCACTAATAGTAATAGTACTGTTGTGGCAGTTCTGCCCAACAAGCGCAAGCATCATGTCGAGTGCAACAGGCTAAAGACAGTACGTGTGGTGTGCGTGACGGTGTGGTTGTAATGATGATTGGCCCATAGCCTAGGCCCATAGCCATTGGGAGTCAGGATGTCACATTGTTGGCACACATTGATTCACTTGTGTTTCAGCTGGAGTGCACACTCCCTAACACCCCAGTTGAAACTGGAACAATTTGTAGCGACAAATATCACGTACATGTATAGTCGGGGTATCTGACGCCGTAACGGAATATCCATGCGCTAGCCAACGGCGCTCATGCCTTCCATCGTGAACGTATCGGCGTTGGGGTGGCGCAGGTGTGTGCGTCATAAGTTAATACAAGCGAAGGCAAACAAAACAGCACTTTTCTGTCGTTGGCTTGTGGCATTTCGGTGGATTTGGCAAGGCCGATGACAGGGCCTGGGGCAGGGTCATTTGAACTACTTCCTGTGGCTTTGTTCGTGAATATGGATCGAATTTCTCCAAAGTCCAAGGCCCCAAAATAACAACGACGTGTACTACTTTTCGTGGCTTCTGGTACTTGCCTTTCTTGGCTGGTTCTGGTACTTGCCTTTCTTGGCTGGTTCTGGTACTTGCCTTTCTTGGCTGGTTCTGGTACTTGCCTTTCTTGGCTGGTTCTGGTACTTGCCTTTCGTCACAAGTTTCCTGGCTACTGGTACATGTACTTGCCTTTCAGCTTTCGTGGCTACTGCTTCTGCTGCAATACGAAAGCGTCACATATTAGGACTTAGGTCCTTGTACAGTAACACTGTACCGCCACACCTTTGGGTAATCCTGAAATAAAGATTGTTTAATAATTATAATAATTTGTTTAATATATATATATATATATTTTTTTTATAAGTGCAAGCCTCTTTTACGGGCAAAAATTAACACAATGTATTAAAATGCAATACAACATACACTGGAGAAGAAATCAGGAAAATAAAATATGAGCTCAAAAATGGAACGAAAAATAGCAAATAGAATCAAAACTCACGATGGAATCAAACTCATGATGGAAACTACAACCCAATGAGTTGGAAAACCAACCACAGAATTAGATATTGGGAATAGAGTCAGACACAGTTGACTTCTTATTATGACTTTGTACGTTATAATTTTGTTGAGCTCCGGTTTTCCCCTTCATTCTAACTCAAGTGCAGTTTAGCGTGTATTGGCTTGTGATTTCCTTTCTTCTGTTTGCTTGGCATTTTATCGCTCCACAGGTACCCCCGGTCTCAGGTGCTCTCACATTTGTGCAATTGTTGATTTTGGTCCTGAATTGTCCTCCCGTTGCTTTGCTACCGTCCTCCTCCTTCCTCCACCTTTTTTTCTTTTCTTAATTGGCCTCATTATGGCATTCGCTTCCATGTAATTGGGCTTGTAGCCCGTGTGTACTTGCGAATTCAAATAAAAATATACATACATACATACATACACAACAACAACCGAAATCAGTACACCAAAAATCTGTCCTACAAAAAACAAAGGAACAAGAAAAACAAGAAAGACGAAGTACAAAGAATCCCCAAAAAAGAGGGGAGAACGGGATGAAAGAGGACCGGAGAGCGGCAAACCCCAGGAGGACTTAGCGTCACGTAGTGGCGGGAATGCGGGCCTCCACAGAAACAGCATCCACATCCGCCGCCACACCAGGTACACGGAATGCACGGCGACTCCCACGAACCATCAGGACGGAGTCGCGGACAAGGCTGAAAGCCAGGTCCGTCCGCAGCTTTCCCATCACGAGGGGATAAGGCTGCGAGAGCTTGGTGGAGAGCTTCGTTCCGAGCAGCTTCAGGAACCGGGTGGCCTCCTTCGCCAGGGCACCAGCAGAAGACAGGACGATCGGGGTGAACGACGCGTGCTCAACTTCCCGGATCCGGGCACCGTATGCCGACTGCTTCTGTTTAATATAATAATTATTATTACACCGTCTGGTCTACACTACGCTGTACATGCCACGGCCAGATCTGGCACACCCTGCAATATGAATATGACGGACGGGCGTTACAAAGTCTGGCCAGAAACCTGAGAAAGGGAGAGCTAGAACTCGAGAAGTAATTATTATCATGTACCTACATGGTCACGTGACGGTGCGGTCGTAGAAGTAACAGTTAGAACTACTTAGAACTTAGTATTCTACCACCGAAAACTACCTGAAGTGCTACGTGTGCTGTGTCAATGGGTGGGTGTCTGTATCGGACACTTGCACCGCCGTTTTAAAACCATCAAGAGTAGATAAACAAGAGTGTGCAACTCCGGATCTCTCCTGCACAATCTGCAGATACCGCGCGCCCACGGCGGAATTTTTTGTTTACGTCACCTTTTTTCAGAGAAACGCGGCTTTGCCGCAGAGCAGTGTGAGAGCACGTGCTGGGCACCGACCTTGTAGTGTAAAGCCCAGCCAAGTGCACGAGGGAAAACTCTCCAAAAGGCTCGCAGCGCGTGCGTCGTCGAAAAGATTACGTCAACAAAAAATTCCGCCGTGGGCCAATCCATCCGGAGTTGCACACTCTTGTTTATCTACTCTTGAAACCATGCATAGCCACGGGTACCGGGTGCCACATCACAAGTCATGCTGCCACCCTGCGCCGCCGAAACTGGAGATCCACGGTAACAGTTAGAACTAATACATAATTATTATAACTTAGTATTCCACGACCGAAACCACCTGAACGTAGATCTACTGCCTACAGTACTGGAGTGACGTGTGCAGTGTCAATGGGTGGGTGTCTTTACTCTTCATTGTACTACATGTATATCGGCCACATGCACAGCCACAGGTGTCAGACTGTCAGTCACATCACCTGCACCACGGCACGGTAGATCTACACCCTGTGCGCTGCCGAAACTGGAGATCCACCCCGCAGGAAAACAAATGCCCAATATGGGGAGCACCGTTGCCTGGGTTGGGGGCCCAGCGAGGGAATGGGTGAGGGCGTGTGGGCTACGATTTCAGCAGGTCGATATAGCACGTCACAATAATCATAGTGTACCCTCGATCGTGGATGTACACGTTGTGACACAGTCAGTTCAAAGACTAGTAACGACGTAGTTGTGTTTGACCCGATACAAACTTACAAAGTGTTGTTGATCTCGTCCGCCATTTTGTTTAAAAACATGATTGTATTTGCTTCCCTTGCTTGTACATTGTGCCAGTTCCAGAGCCCAGGGGTCTTGACATGCCGTGTACGGATAGAAGAAGTATAGGGGGTTCTGGCTCACCTGAAGTTGAGCCAAAATCGACTTTTTCGATCGGCCCTCTCGGGCCAACTTGAGAGATTGGCCCGAGAAGGCTGATCGAAAAAGTCAATTTTGGCTCGAGAGATTGGCCCGAGAAGGCTGATCGAAAAGTCAATTTTGGCTCAACATACTTCACTCTTCAGGTGAGCCAGAACCCCCTCCCCCTATACTACTGATAGAGCATCACCATCCCGATGCCCAGTCGATAATACATGTACATGTAAGTGTCACGTACATGTAGATCTACATGATTGTACGTATACGTGAGCATTGAACACACGTTTTCAAGTAAGATCTTAGTTTCTCCTCTGCTCTGATCTGCTCCAGGACATGACAATGAGTGCGCAAAGGTGAAATACTGTACCGGTAATAAGACTGAGCAATGGAGTGCTACAAATTTGCAATCAATATGACCCACACTCTAGACTATAGGCATATCACGGAAACTCTGGGGTGAGGAACTGGGAGAGGGAGGTGTGCACATGAGGCGCTATCCCCAGGCTTGATCGGCGCAATGGAGTCACGGAGAAGTAGCACATTTTACCTGCTAATGAAGTCTTAACTCTTATGACTATTTTCACAATCTCACAAACTGCATGGGACAATGCAGTGGGGATGCTGGTACCGAGTCCACACTACTAAGTGTGTATCATGTATTGGTGAGTTGAGGGAGTGACTCTCAACGACAACAACTCCCCTATTAAAGTTGGCATACACTCTCGAGGCGCTAGGCACAGTTTACGTTGGTATCATATTAATCAAGACACGAGCTTTATCTCTTTGAAATGTCCACTCGACTTCTCATAATTACCAGACCATGATGTAGATCACGATCCGCGTCTATCGCCTCTTTTTCAGAGTCCGCTTCAGCTCATCTGACCTGGAGATCACGTCTTCGGAGGCTCGAGAGCGCACTGCATCAGGGATCGTGACGTCCTAGTCTCTGAAGACAGTGAAGTGCACTTGCGACTCGACTAACTATCGATCATACTGCGTTGGTGCAGTGTAGTCGACTAGTCGTAGACCAACACGCGTATGTCACTACTGTATAACACGTTATTTTCAGTGTAATTTTAATTTCGGTAATTTCGGTAGAGAATTCAGGCACCTAAATTTAGATTACACCTAATAGGCACTAGAGTATGCACTGTATGTGAAGGGTGGGCTGGTCACCTAATTCTACATTACACCTGAAACCTGGCTGGTCCCTGACACCGAAATTTAAATACACCTAAAATTACATGATATAATAGTACTTGTCCTTCCCGGCTCATGCCAGCATGGCTTGGCTAGGCTAGGCTCAGCCTCGGTCTCCGAGTGAAGGTAATTTTTCGGGCTCTTCGGATCGGACATCGGAATGTAGCGTGTAGGTGCATTGGCCTATGCCCAAGGCTCGTGTGGTAGCTAGCTGAGGATGCGAGAGGAGCCACGGCAGCCTTCCTTGATTTGACCCGTGCGTGCCTAGTACTCTCCGTGGCTGCAGCGAGAAGGCTCGCGGGTTGCTAATCCGAGAGCCGCTATCAATGGACGAACTATTCATGCATTCACTACTCGGACGATCGAATGACCGAGTGAATGTTTGTGGTAAATGTTCACAAGCTGGCAGAATGCGCGCGCCCTCGACGCAAGGAGCTGCAGGAATTTGTGCATTATATCGCCTTCCGCCTTCCTCGTGGTGCGCTCGGCTTGCATCCGCGAACATGTTCGACTTGCGCAGTATCCGGTTTGTCAATCCTGCATCCGTCGGGACTTCAAGCAACTGCTTATAAACGGGACACATCCAGAAATTCTAGCAGTGACCAGTGGTTGGAAGTCTCAGACTCACACTCAGAGCCTCGAACTCGGAGGAAATTGTGACTCGCTACCTAAGGGAGCAGCGTGCAAGCACGACATCGAAAGCAGACAACGAACGCGGACGGCAAGAGCACGTCGCCAGCAGTTGGGTGGGTGAAAGACGGCTGTTAGTTGACACAGTGAAGTGGAGTTCGGACTGGGCTGATAGGTGATTGCTAGGGAGGCTCAAACCAACACGTGGTCCAAGCTTTCAACAGCTCAAGTCAAGGCGAAAAGGTAAGAACGGTTGTTTGTGTTACTGTTTGTACGCCCAAACTGACCCACAAAAGGTGCGTATTCCTGTAGAAGCTGACACCGACCTGCAGCGCCCCACTCCCCAAAGCTCGCGATGTTATCAGCATCTACCGAAAACATATCGTCCTTATGCGACATTGCGGCCATTCCCCTGGGTATTGTGTCCATGGTCGTCAGGTCTGGGAGAGGTGTGATACTGTACGAACCCTGCTCGGGTAGGCATGCCTGATCCATGCAGGGTATTTACACACCCAACTCGTAAAATAAAATAATTATGTGGACAAAAACAAACATGGTGTGGCATTCTTTATTTTACTTCACCAAGCGAACAGGCAATGATGCCTTCTCCACCAGCCAATGCCTGGCTCTCACAGAATGATGAAAACAGGGAATCCTGTTCAAGAATATTCACCGCAATGAACTGGGTTGACTCTGGATCCCAGTTGAGTGTACAGTACACTCACTGAGTGTTTGAGTCCGTAGATCCGTGTGTGATTAGGGCGGCATGCATGAGATCAAGACGCAGCTGGCTAATGTGGGACATGGTGACCGGCTTGGAGTTTCTGCTCCACTTTGTGGTCATGTGCTATGCAACTGCCATAGAATAACTACCTGGCACTTCAGAAGCAGATCTTACTGGTGGCTCAAAACACAGTATACTGGGAGATATGCTTACATGCATGCCTCAGTGTTGCACCTACATGTATATCACCTGAAGTCTGCGAATACGGTAGGGGTTATACTCAGCCCCCCCCCCCCCCCTTCTCCTCAGCCAGGAAAGTCAGAAATGGTGTGTGTGTGTGCGGCTTGTGCACTGAGTCAGGGACCAAAGAGAGCGGAGGGCATAGAAAGTGTGTCTGCATCCGGATCCGGAAACACCAGTTTACACACCAGCTTACATGTCTTGTGAATGCGATTATTTCATGTAATGGCTCTGTCAGCCAAGACGAGCATCTGAAATCCAGTGTACTTGTTGAGTAGTTTAATAACATTAGCTAGAAGCTACACATGGACGTAATAGCAGTAATACCGCTAAGAGTATTCCACAATCTTGATCTATTTGTGTAGAGTGGTCTACCTGCCGAGGTGCTGGACCTTCAGCAGAAGGTATCACAGCTAGTACTGCTGTGTTGGTAGACTGTGCAGCCCCAATCTTGATATTTTGTGTAGAGTGGTCTACCTGCTGAGGTGCTGGACATTCAGCAGAAGGTATCACAGCTAGTACTGCTGTGTTGGTAGACTGTGTAGGAGGAAAAGGGAAGAGAGCAGATTCTCCAGTTCACTGTGTGTGCCTTGTCGGTAGTGGAGTGGAGGGGGTTACTTAAACCTCTACAAGTTCAGACTCTGTGCTGGTCCAGGCCAGCAGATGTCACCCTACTGGATTCAAGTCTAAATTATTCTCCAGTCCTATCACTGGAGGCTGTGCCAGGAGGGAGAGCCTGAACCGAGTCAACTGAAACGTGCAGTGCAAGCTACGCATATGTGTATACGGCGCAGCATGTGATGTGACACAATCATAGCTATTACTTCGGATAACAACAACTCTGTTCTGAGAGTTATCCTAGTCCAGAGTTTGCAATACAAGCCATTGAGCTGGTTTCTGTAGCAAATACTGACGTAGAGAACAATCATCTCCAGTGCATGTACTTCTTGAAGTAGCAACATGGGTTAGGGTGTCAAGTGAATACCAACCTCGGGTCCAAGCAACCTGGGACGATTAATTTTTGTTTACGGCTGGAAATTCCAGCTGGCCAGATGGATGATAGGTGTTCACACCTCGGGCAGATACACTCAGAGAAGCGGAGAAAGAGAGAGGTGGGTCTGGGCCTGACTCTGTACACCCCGGAGTGCAGGCATTGTGCAGTGCAATCATACTCCATAGCGCAGGTGACGTGTGACGAATCACGACACTTGTTTCGCTAAATTGAATTATTTGATGTGTGTGTGATTCCCACCTGTTTTGGTCACTCACTGCTCAAGTAGAAGCATATCCAGGAACACCAGTGTACCCTGCACGTGTACGGTGTATGTGTTGTGTGACCTCCATTCATGCCTGTGGAGAAAGATGCAGCTGTCCTGGGGTGGTGATCATAGTTTGGTGACAAAGGCAGCCTACTAGTACACTTGCTACCAGACTATAAAACTTAAAAGTAGAGTGGAAGAACAGTTGTCTAAAGACAGTGTCACGTGAAGGATACTGGATGGGAAACTCGGATACTTGGAAACTTTTTCTGGAGACTTACACAAGGCCAATGACAACTAACTTCCCCGTGACTATTTTCCTATGCCAGGTCAGTATTATGAACTCTCACTGAGCTTGCAATGTGAAGCTCATGGTGGTGGGAGAGCGGACCAGTGCACTGCATGTGTTGTTCATTCGTCAGCAGGTTTGTCCCAAGTGCAGCGGGGGTTAAGTTTTTGTTGATTAGTACAACACGCTTACTGCTCAGTGTTGGCATACACAGGATCAGATCACATGCCGGTGACATGGTACGTAACATGATCACATGGTACATAACATGATCACATGGTACATAACATTGCATCCTGAACATGCTGCCAACATACCTTTAGGCCATCCCTTCCAAAATTCAATCAACCAGAACAATATCAATTGTTCCGTACAATCAGAGAGAGAACAAAGCCCTACATTTCCCACTGAGTAGGCTGGCGTGCAGATATGGGTAGAAAAGGAAGAGAAGACAGCCGCAGACAATTTGTTAACAAATGCACACACAAACACAGTGACCTTAGTAGGACATTATTGTTTTGTAAATGGTCATCATGATTGTTCTTGAGTGTTGCTGAGACCCCTGCACTGTAACTAACCCTCATGACCATAGATAGGACTTTGTGGATAGGTGTCTACCTATTTCGAGTGTCCGCAACTTTGCATAACCTGAAGGGGCCGTAATTAAACCATTGGCACCACGTTCTACTGAACATGGAGATACTATGATTTGCCAAGGCTGCACCCCAGGAAAGATGATAGATTTAGTGTGACATCGTACTGCATCATGTTCACTAATCAGTAATCATTCAGCAGGGAAGTCTTGCCTTTCAGCGTGGCTGATGGGTCAATGATGACATGAGGCTAATACAGGTATGTAGTTGTACTTCAAACTCACAGACTCGTATCAGATAATGCACCTGGATGTGCATTGCGCACTGAAAGCAAGTGTTTAATAGTTCAGTACCTAGCTGGTTAGTGCGTGGTCTTTACACCGAAACACTCACATGCGCTGGACCTGTGAGTGTGTATATGTACGCAATTCAATGTGAAGTTCAATTGCTGTAGAGATGTACTGTAGACACTATGGCGAAGCGAGCTTTCTTCCGCATGTATACCAGCCTGATTCCTCTGCAGTGTTACAGCACCACGCAAACTCCATACTAGTACATGCCATACATGTATGTGTGTCCCCGTGATGTTGTACACAAGTGTGCATGTGCCTGCAAACAATAGGTCACCCGTTTGGAAGTGCAGTTGTGTACTTGGCCAAATTTGTTCATGATATGTGATTACACCATACCATGCACTCTTTGCCATAACTGCACGATCAGGAGGAGCATAAGGATCCTAGCCGGGGTCTCATGTACATTAGTGATTGAGCAGCAAACATCTACTAGCAAAACCAGTACTATGAGTGGCTGTGTAACCGTATCCCAGTGCCTTATGGACACCATGGAGGCATGGCTACATTGATTTGGCATGGCTACACTGATTTGGCATGGCAGGCAGGTGTTGGATGGGGTACAGTACTGGAAAACTAAAGTAGCAAAACAGCGCTTTGCTGTCAAAAGCGCTGTCACAGATTACGGGTCAACATCGGCACCGGTCCAGAACACCAGACAAGAGCGCAAATTGAGTTATTTGCTTTCAAGAATATCCCCTTCACACTTCCAAAACAAGATGCTTGGCGAAATGTGGAGCATGGCAAGCTAAGCAGTTACTGCGTTAAGTCTGAGTGGCGTGACATTTTTTTCTTTTGCCACCTTTGACCAAGGGTAAACCGCTCATGAATGTGGAGATGGAATTTGCAGCAATCTGAGCCTGTCATTGAATGCCACTGATAGAGGGGAATGTGCTGGGAGTGTCCACTAAGAAGCAGGTCGATCAGAAGGTGTATCCGTTTGCAACTCGAATCAGGGAAGTGCCCACAATCTGTAGGAGTAGCCTTTCAGCAAAGCAGGCAGGGTGCCCACAGATGTACTCAAACGGTTCAAAGGCGCTCCGCCGCATTGCCCCAGGACAGATGCTGCTCAGCAATGTAGGCAGCCAGGTGTCCTGCAGCTTGGCATGTGCCCGCGCTGCTTGTACACGGACAAGTTTCACGACATAGCTTAGAGAGTTCTCAATGGGCTGCCCATGCCGAATTATTTGCAATGTTTCCACCTCCAGGGCACACTGGAACATAAATGGTGCTCCAATTTCCGAGTTGAACGTGAGCAATGCTAGTGGGCAGAAGCTGGAAACTGGTCACAGTGGAGCTATCATGTCCAGGATGGGATCATTACTTATTTGACTCCCCGGTAGTTAAGTAGCAGTGCTACAGCCCCATCCTAGGCACAATAGCCATGTTGCTAGGCTATTTGTAACACTCAGGCAAAGGTATACTTGTGCCTTTAAGCATTTGCTGGTATGGGTAGTTGCACATGCATGCACTATAAAGTTATGTACCTTGTACACATGTACAATGTATGGTGGCTTGTTTCTGGTATTATGTTAGTTATCATCTTGAAACGTGTGTAGTCACTAAGTGTGTTGGCAACGGGATATCAAGCCAATCAAGGAAAACAGCCCAGCTTGCATTTTGCTGCCAATGATATACCTCCACTGCGGGTGCGGCATGTCTATGTACATCTAGACTGAGCTTTGTAGGAGAGAGAGAGAAAAAGAGAGAGAGAGAGAGAGAGAGAGAGAGAGAGAGAGAGAGAGAGAGAGAGACAGACAGAGAGAGACAGAGAGAGACAGAGAGAGA